AAGGGACCCGAAATTAGAGACTGCAGGATTCCTGCAAGGGCTGCCTGGACATGCTTGCAACGTGATTCTTGGGGCCTTGATGGCAATAGGGTTTAGGGTGCAGGGCTTAGGGTTTAATCAGGGTTCAGGTTTAGCGTTTGGGGTTTTGGGGCCTTCCTAACTAGAATAGGGTGTTCGGGTATACTTTAGTAAAGTACAAGTCTACTACGGAACTCCAAGGACCAGTATTGGTCACATCGTTTCGGTATGAACTTCGAACATGCACATCAAAAGATTGAAACCAACATGAGAAACACGTGAACATATGAAAAAACATACGAAATCAATATGAAAAGCTTTGGTATGGAATCAGACTCAGATCCATGAACAAACCACACTGTTTAGTACAAGTAACTAGGCAGCAGGTATGAAAACAATATGAAACGACCGAGGACTACGGGACTATCTCGAATCATGGCTTTTCACATCCTTTGCTAAAAAACCATATTGAACCTAGGTTTTCTCATTGAAAAAGGTTGAAGGAATCGGGGCTCTATATGACGTCAACCGTCTGAACTAGAGGGGCCTGTAATCTTGGAAACAATGTTTTGGCACAAATAGATTGTGCTATACTTATAAAACTCTGGCACCCTAAACAATGCCGGCTCTAGTTGTTCCGACCTTTTTTTGAACCTGGCCTTCATCTCCTTTGCGGGATTTACAGGGTTTCCCATCATGTTGTACTTGGAGGTTCATGGGTAGTTATAAGTGGGGCAATGAGTCCCAGGATATGGGTTATAAGTAAAGCCACCCTAGTTATGATCCGACCTTCTAATTAACCATGAACCTCCAAGTAATATAGGGGCCGTAATAATTAGAACAGGGTTTTGGGGCCCATTATACTAGAAATATAATAAGGAACCTCCGGGCTAGTATTTGTGATCATTTCGCCTTACTGATTGGAATATCCTGATCTCCAAAAGGTGAGCCCGAGCGATTGAAGCCAACCTCTAAACTTCAAACGCCGAACACGTATAGTGCACCCCAGAAAGTTGGAACACGGACTTCGGGATAATGATGTTCCAACTGTCTGGCTTCTACTGCAAGCGCTAAGCCCTGAAAGGATCTTGAGTCCAGGGTTTAGGATTTAGGGTCCTATCGGGTTTCCTCAAAGCCCTGACTCGAAATCCAAATCCGGAACCCTGAATCACTGGGTTGTAGTTTTGGGGCCCTGAAAAGTATTTATGAATAGGTACCTCTATATAGAAACCATCAGGGAAATTTTAAAGTTTCCCAAATTGCCACCTACCCTAAGAACCCGAAACCTACTTTTTTGTAGGGTCCCTATAAAATCCCATATTAGGGTTTATAATAAGAACCTACAAAAAAGTGCGCTTTGGGTTCTTAAGGTAGGGTTCAAGGTTATGGGGTTTTGGCATGGGGTTGAGAGTTAAGAGCTAGCGAGTGCAACTAGACCCTAAGCCCTGCGCCCTACAATCCCGAACCCCAAGGCACCCAAAGAGGGACCCTAATTTTGACAACCACCCACATGAACTTGCAGATGAGTGGACTAGCTGGATGTAGCCACCATCCTCAGCAGGAACGGTTTAGGGTTTAGGGGGTTAGGGTTTAGGGTTTAGGGTTTAGGGTTCAGGGTTTAGGGTTTAGGTTAGGGTTTAGGGTTTAGGGTTTAGGGTTCAGGGTTTAGGTTTTAGGTTAGGGTTTAGGGTTTAGGGTGAGGGTTTAGGGTTTAGGGTTTAGGCGCAAGCAGACGGATTTTTCGAAGATAGTTCTCACACAGTTGTTTTTAGAGCCCTGGCTACGAATCCGCCGTCCTAGAAGAGGATGCTAGTGGCGGTCCGAAAGCTAAGGCCCTTAAAGAGAGAGGTCTTGCTAGCGCTCGACATTCAACCCTAAACCCTAAATTTCTTGGTTCCCGAACTGGGGTGTGGGCAGTTTGGAAGTCTGGCTTTTAGTCTTTGCTTCAAAGCTGTCGGTTGCAGTGATGCATGCAAAGCACCCAAAACCCAAAACCCCAAACCCGAAACCCTAAACTCTGAACCGCAAACCTTGTAATTTTTAAACCCTAAAGCCTCTGAACCCTAACCTCCAAATTCAGCCGATAAGCAGACAAACCCAAGCCTCAACCCTAAACCCTAAACCCTAAACCCTCAACCCTAAACCCTCAACCCTAAACCCAAATCCTCAACCCTCAACCCTCAACCCCAAAACCCTAAACCCTAAACCCTCAACCCTAAACCCTCAACCTTCATAGGGTTTGGGGAGTAGGGTTTAGGGCTCAGGATTAATAGGGTTTAGAGACTCAACGTAATTAACAACTTCCTACGGAACATGGAAAGAGGTAGCCTCCTCAAGCCTGAACCACAAGGTCATTTGACCAGAAACCCGACCTTACCCGCAAATAACCTACCGGTCTGGAAGGACTCACTAGTATGTCAAGCAATCATGGGTCTATGGGGTACTATACCCATAGGCTCCATCGTAGTTCCTTTTTGTGGTTCATATTTAGGGTTTAGGGTTTAGGGGGCTTGTACTACCAGCTTTACCATCAGGAACACCCAGAACCATTTTCAAACTAGTAAGGCCCCCTATACCAAGCCCCGATCGTATCCCTGGCCGTAACCCTTACTTCGAGAATCCTACACCCTAAACCCTAAACCCTAAACCCTAAACCCTAAACCCTAAACCCTAAACCTGTAACGGAACCCTCTTCTCCATAATTGAACCTCCCATGCTAACCGAGCTGCCAGGAGGATCCCATCCCGGATGACACTGATGAAGAAATCCCGCAGCAGTCTGCTGTTGTTGGGATTCCTGGGGTAGCTGCTAAGGGTTTATGGTTTCGAGTTCAGGGGTCAAGGTCTGGGGCTTAGGGTTTAGGGCCCATGGGCTAGAGTCTGTTGTTTGGATTCCTGGGTCCTTTTAGAAGCATTAAAGGAGCCCTAAACCCTAAACCGTAAAACCCTGATGATCTTGACGCTCGGGGCCCCGGGATTTGTGGTTTAGGCTTATTGGCTTACGGCTTGGGGTTTCCTTAAGGGTCCAAGTCCAAGTGCCTGATAATAATACATTCTCACGCCATAACTACGACCCAAGTGCCTACATGTTGGGCCTTCTGTCTGGTGCTTAGTAGGGAATGGGGGAATGGATCCCTATGATAGTCCCTAAAGGTCCCTTATAGTCCCTATGACCCATTCCCCCATTCCCTACTCAGCGCCAGACAGCCTTTGGACCTTGAGTGTTTCGGGCTGTTTGGTGGCGTCCTCTGCAAGCACCCCTAAACCCTAAAGCCTAAAGCCTAAACCCTAAACCCAAACCACTAACCACTTGGAAGGACTTGGTCAGCAGGGGACTGGCGATTTCATTCTCGGAATCATTCGTCCGGGCTTTGGAGGAGAATAGGGGGAAACGGCGGCCTCAGTGCTTAGGGCTTGGGGTTTAGGGCTTAGGGCTTAGGGCTTATGGAGGATAACTGGGCTTTGAAGTAACCAGGGAGAAAAAAGTATAGACGTTTATTTCATATGGTTCCTTTGGGGAACAGGTCTCCCAAAAAAAGTACTAAAGTATGGTACTCCAAAGACCAGATAATATACTGTTACGTAGTCTTGCAATTTAGAATTTAGCCTCCTATCCGTATCTCGGCGGTAAAAATCAGCCGCTGTACTCTTTACATGTCACTACATGTCTTTACATACAAGTCTTTACATACAAGACTTGAACTAATTTAATTGTACCACGCCCACAACGTTTCGAGTTGAACACCCCTGCAGTACATTCCGATGCAGCAAACCCTGTCGATGCCCGCTAAAGCCCAAACCTTAAACCCTAAACCCCAAACCCCCAAACCCTAAACCCGAATTTAGGGTTTCATGCAAGTACATATGATCCCGGTTCGGCCGGGGCCCGCCCTTCCCCCCCAATGGTTGCCCCCCTGAACCCTATGCAGCGCATAAAGTCCATAGCCAGGCGTCGGCGCACGGCTGAGAGAATATCTCGGGAAGGGGAACACCACTGTGTGGAAGCTTCCCTGCGCATGGTAGCTTCATGTGGGGGTTTCCGAAAATAGGGGGCCCTAATATAGTACCCTAAATAATAGGATCCCTATCAGTAACTTTCATCGTTGCGGGCAAATGTTGGTTGATGGCAATGCGAAATCCACAGGTGTTCTGAGAGGTCTGACAAGTCACAAAATCACACGGCCAAGGCGTCTCAGCCTAGACAGGGTTGGAGGCCAACAACTTTGCCTAGAGCACGCATCTTTGAGCCCCAAAGTCTGGGCCAATACTTTTTGGACCACATTTCTCAATGAAGCCTTGGTGCGCAGCTTTGAATATGAAGCCGTGGTCCGTTGTGCCAAGTTAAGCTCTGAGCGAACTATT